GATATACTCCCACGGCCAGGCTCACAAGACAAAGAGACGGGCCGACACTGGCGCGCACTGATGTTGTTGCAGCCCGCGCGTATAACAAAGAGGTATTTCGTATCTCAGACCCGGCATGTCTGAGATCAGCGGCCCAAACATCTTCTATGCTTCAGGGGAGAGGACTTCTTTGAGTCTGACAGGGTAACTGCCCGAAGCCAGAGCCACTCTGTAGCAAGGCTCATGTTAGGGAAGCCACGTTGAAGACGGCACGGGCTGCTTGTTGGCCCGTCAAGCTGGCTTGAAACCATGTCGCGGAAATCTCCCTTCCCGCTCTGGCACCCGGCGGGTTCTTGACATTTCGAACTAGCGCAGAGAGCTTGCTGAACCGGTGGGTGAGAAGACATACGGTGATAACCGCACGGTCTGCGGGGGCTGGTCAACCGTCCACCTCCTGGCAATACCGGGCACTGGAACTTTTGGCACGGGCGAGGGGTGCTACGGTCATATAACCGAGACACATGAGTGATGTGTATTTGAAAGATTAGACAATTGTAACTCGATAACTGCCTCTCAGAGCTCCACAGCGGTCCAGGAACCAGACTGGATGTACACCGGGATTGAGTCGCCTTGACGGTTGTTTTCGTCAAATCTAAGCACCCCATTCTGCTTAAGTTGCCAAGGATTGACCAAGAAGGCGACCTTTGGTCTGGCCGTGTAGATGTGGAAGACGCGGACGAGAATACATGCGTGGGCTGCTGGATTACGGTCGTAATCTTTCATCTGTAGGTAAGTAAACAGTCAGTGTCCAATGAAGATCGCCACTCAACATGGTTTTGATGAACCTCGGAGTCTTACTTTATCTTTCTGATATTTACTCACGAAAAGCTTGTGCTCACAATGCAAAGGCGTAGTCTTTACCTCGAGGTGATACTCCGTACCGTTCGTCCATCTGGGGTCGACAGAGACGCCCCAGTCGCGGAGGACCTCCCGCATCGCGCCGGAGTGATCTGTGTACGTGAAATCGGTGTATTTCCCTTCGTCTCTCAAACCTTCATGCCCCGCCCAGGTTCGGTAATTGCTCGTCCAGTTGTCCCGCCAGTTGAAGCCGGGAAGCCCCTCCCGGACCAGTGCGTCATATCTAGATTGAGAAGCACGACCGTTGTTAGCGTGTGGGGGAACTGCAAGAATGGGGATATGGACAGGGTTCTGTACAAGTGTTTCTCCCCAAGGTAGCCGATTTCACCGTTGCGGTCCTCACGCGTCTGTCCATGACCCCAAGGGGATTGAGAGGCGTCGGCGGTGTTGTCGCCCGGTGGGCTGTACGGTGGACTGTATGGTGGATTGTGTGGTGGACTGTATGGATGATCGTATCGCCGGTTGATCGATGGTGGATGCAGAGAAAAGCCAACTTCCACATCACTCTTTGAGCGTGAGTGGCAGCAGGGGCAGATGATGCTGGAAAAGATGCGCAAGGCCGAGCCAACGAACACCAATATGATCCCCAGCCCCCCGTGCTCGCCTGTCTCGACAACCCCATGCACCCCATCGTACATGGAATACGTTGAGAGTGTACCTGCCCCGATGGATATCAGGGCGCTGAAGAAAGATGCAGAGTAAAGACCCCAAGAAGCGCCAAGGAGGAGCGTAAGAAAGAAGATGGCACCGTCGACAATGACGGCAATGACGGCTAATGCGACGGCCGCCTTGCTCTCGGCCGTGAACTTTGCTTCCTTGTTGTGTAGTTTCGAGGAATCAATACTGTTGAGTGTGGCATTCCATGAGGAGACGATGCTGTTGACCAGTGGCTCCTGGCCAGTCCCAAGATGGTCCCTCAGGGACTCTTCCACGATGGTGATGAGACCGTTGGTCGGGGGGAACTGGCGTCGGCAGCGGGTTTCGCCGTTGGAGTAGACGTCACATACTCCCGACGTCCCCCAGTACCAGTAGGTCGGCAGCTCGGGATGAAAAAGCTCAGGGGCATTCTGGCTGTTATTGGACGCCAGTTTTTGAAGCCCACCTGCCAGGACGGCTACTTTGACGCGGTAGAGGGCAAGGTTGACGAGGCCCGGGGACATGCATCCGATGAGGGATGCGCAATTTGCCGCGATACTCACTGTTGGTGTCCATCAGCAATCTTCAACGCCCGTTACGCTAAAGAGTGATCATTCGTACTCACCGACGGCAAAAGCCGTGAGCCATGCCCGTGACGTCTTTTCCCGACATCCCATGTTGCTGATGGCCCTATAGTTCGTACCCACAAGCCGGCAACCAGACAATAAAAGAAGCGACCCGGCTGAGGCGGACGGCCTCGACTGATGCTCTGGCGTTCATAATTTCTGCAACTTCCTGTCCCCTTTTACATATTGCAGCTTACGGCTGCCGTGCGGCCCAGGGCGCCGTCTCCTGGTCTTCAGCCTCATGCAGATAACCTCCAATCTTAAAAGTTGTTACTTCTGGCGCAGTGTTGTCTGCGGCGCCTAACTGTCATGCTGTGATTTGCCCATCGTGCATATGCCAAAGGCGCGCAAGGACGGCAACCCCCAAAAGAACCAAGCCACAGCACCCGATTTGGACCTAGGCGACTTTAGCGTAGTTGGACTGCGGCGAGACCGAAGCGCTCAACTTGAAGCCAAGATATGGCCCTCACATAGGGAGTCTTGAATTGGTTGGTGAAATACCTTACCAAGATAGGTACATGTACGTACCACAGATGAAGGTAAGTGCGTGGCGCCTCTTCCCCTGACGTCTGCAGCCGCCTCTGACGGGCGCTTCGTAGCATGCAGTTTTAGCGCGGCGCCGAGGGGCGGCTGAGGCCCTTGATCCTGCTACCATTAGAGCGCTTGTTGACCCGCGCAGGCGCGCGCCGGCGGCGTGGCTCCTGGGTCGTAGGGACGAGTCGGCCGCGTTCTGGTTTCCATGTAGACCTTGCGTTCGACCATCATGCCTTTCTGCCGCCGCGACCTCAAGGTGCTGCCAGAATCTGGGGGTTGGAATCAAACCACCTAACCGCCACACAGGGGACCAGTTGTACAACCGCTTCTCCTGGCTCTTGCCTTCACCAAACTGGTACTCATCTTGTGGACGCCTGGTTGTCTGCTCGCTCCTAATATGCAGGTTTACATCAACCCAACAAAATACTCCCAGTACTGGCATAATGCGCCAACGTGCCAATCCTGCAGTTCTGTGTTCAATCCCTCAGCATCCAGGATCCATGGCAAATACCTGCTCTCCCCGTCCCCGACGCTCTGCCGAGAACACTCCCACCGCGCCTTGCACAGCTCCCAGTACGCCGGATACCACCCTGCTTGCTCCCACCCAAGAATTGCCACCAACCGCGGGTTAGGTCCGGCCGAAACGATGATGTTCCGCGGATGGAGCGCCCCATGCGTAAACACAACGGGGGCATCCGCCGGAAACAAATGCTGCGGGATGTACCGTACCTGGCCGTCCCCCAACATTCCCTGTCGGCTCTGCGAGATCGTGACCGCCATGGCGACAAAGTAATCATGAAACGCCGCAACAGTCGGGAACGGGCCCGGCGGCGGCGCACCAGCCATCGTACACCCCCGGAAGACCTCGTCCTGCAGCGGCCCATGATCGACGCTCCCTAGCACCAACAACAACAACACATCAGCATGCCACACTCTTGACCCGTCAGCACAAACCACGAGACAAACTCACCGACAAACCCCGCACCCCCCAACCTCAACCTCCTCCACTGCCGCACCACCTCCCTCAGCTCCCCACAAACCCCCTCCCTCTCACCCGGCCCCATCCCCTCCCACCGCTCCGCAAGCACCTCCCCGCCGCCCTCGGGCAGCGCCATGTACACGAACCGCTCCCGCGTCCCGCGTCCCGCCGCCACCCAAACACCTCCGGCACCGGCACCGGCACCGGCGCCGGCGCCGGCACCCCGCCCCGCTCCCCACACTCACCAGACAACAGACCCTGCAACGCCCGACGCACAAACATCATCGCCTTCCCCTCCGCCACCGCTACCCCCGGCCCGCCCTCCACGCCATACTTGACGAGCAGGCCGAGGGAGGGGAAGGCGACGAGCTTGGCACCGCTGTCCCTGTCTTTGTCGCTCGCGTTGCTCGTGTCGTGGTCGTCGTCGAGCACACCTTGGACGACATTGCCGCCCTGCGAACTACCGGGATTGTTGTCGTTATTGGTGGTGGTCGTGGGTGTGGCGACGGTGTAGCCGAAGCGAAAGGCTTGCTCGCGGACGTGGGACGGGGTGGGGAGCGTGGGGGAGGCGGCGGGGGAGCGGTAGAAGAAGGAGGAGTGGGCGAAGACGACGTTGTCGCCCGGGGGGAAGAGAGGGGTGACGGGGATGAAGGATGAGGGTGTAGGGGCGGGGTGGTTTTGGGTTAGGTTGGGGGCGACGGCGTGGTCGGTTGGCCGGGATGCTGTTGTTGTAGTAGTAGTTGTTGTTGCTGATGGTGGGAAGACACCGATGGCAGCGGTGGACGTGGTGAGACTGAGGTTGGCGAGGGAGGAGTAGAGGGATTGGAAAGGGTCGTCGTGGGTGAGGGAGAGGTCGGCCCCAGGGTTGGGTTGGTGGCTTGGTGGAAATGGGTTGGCGAGCATTTTTCTGAGTGTTGAGATCCGGGTTGGATGTGCAAAATTTGACAAGCTGGGAGAGACAATCTTTGAGTCGGACAAGTCTAGCGCCCCCGACAAGAAAAGGTACCAAATCGTGGGTGAACGAGTTTGTGCTTGACACGAAGGGTGGTGTAGTGTGGGTGAGGGTCACGTTGGGCGTTGGTCACGCAGCGAATGCTGCCCAACCAGCGCTGGACATTAGGGTGGCATGACGTTAACAATCCGCGGTTTCTTTCCATCTCTTGTCTGGGTGTCTGGCTTTCTAGGTCTAAGAAGAAGGAACTAAAAACGGCACAAAGTTCACTACAGAATAGGAAGGAGTCACAGAATCACATCGAAATGGTTCTCATCAGCGTCTGAAAGTCATCTTCATAATGTGTGGTTTTGCATCTCACAGGTATCGTGCTCAAGGGCGTATGGTCTAGTGGTATGATTTCTGTTTTGCAATGAAAATTTCTTACAGAAGGTCCCGCGTTCAATCCGCGGTGCGTCCAAACAAATACTGGTATCACCAGTGCCATTCTTTTTCCCGTGGGCATTCTATTGTTCATTTTTTTGCCTGTCATCTGTGATTGTGCTGCTGGGGTGCTTTCTGTTTGGCCACCGCGCCGGATCTCATCCTTTCCAGGATGCACCAGGAATGCCGCACCATCTCAACTCCCGCTTTCCAGACCTCTGATCGCAGAGCTTCGCAGCAGGACCATATCGCAATGCCAATGTGTCATAAATGTCATTAGTGGTTGATTTGTGCTTCTGCAGATGACCAAGCTTCCATGTCCAGTCCTCTATCAGGATCACAATTTGCCTCTTGGGCAATCCCCAGAGCTCTCTATGGGTGCCTGCGTCAACCATCTATGACCCCCGAGAATCTGTCCAGAGAAGGACTATCATGTGTCCGTGGTCCCCATGTAATGCAAACGCCCCAACGCCTCGCTGAAACCATAAAACCAAACTTCCCCCTGAACCCGCCCAGAAGTGTGTATCATCGCTCATGTCAACAATCTCCTTCAAACACCCTGTGGTACGCAACCTCAATGCGGGGATGTGAAAACCCCCAGAAACTCCCAAAGCCAAACCATTCGCAACCTGGTATCATCGCGCCCCCAGAAAGTATCAAAGAATCCCAACGCCCTCGAAATTTCCACTCTCACGAACAATCCATGCCCTCCGTGGCCTCGCTCCTCGCCTCAGGCTCCGCCCCCGGCGCAGCAGCTCCATTCCCAACCTCCCCTCCACCTGCGCCCATCGTCTTCTTCGCCCCATCCCCCTGCCCCTCCACCTCCACCGACCGCCGGCAGACCGGACACGTCCCGTGCAGCCTCAGCCACGGCATCACGCACTCGCCGTGGAAGAAATGCTCGCACGGCAGCACGGCCGCCTTCTCCCCCTTGGCCATGTCGTCCACGCACACGACGCACTTGGACGACCCCCCGCAGGCGGCCAGCATCTTGTCGTCGACCTCCCTGACCTGCAGGCGGTCGAGCGCGGCCTGCGACGCGGGCGGCGCCCCGCCGGGCTGGGCCTGCTCGCGCAGCTGGGTCAGGATGCGGTCGAAGGCCTCTTGCGAGTAGACGGCGTCGCCGAAGACGGCGTTGGCCGGGTTGAAGAGGGAGGTGAGGATCGTGGCGAGGAGGTTGTTGGGCGGGAAGATGGGGTGCGGGCCGTTGGGTTGGTGTTGGTTTTGGGTGGGTTGGGGATGTGGTTCAGAGCCGGGCTGCTGCTGCTCGGGGTTGGCGGGGTGCTCGCCCTGCTGCTGCTGCTGGGTGGTGTTGTTGTGGTCTGCTTCGGCGGGAGGGCTGTTGTTGACTGTTGGAGGAGGAGGGGGTGGGAAGACGGTGAAGGAGGGGATGAACTGCATGCCGAAGAAGGTCACCGGCGGCGCGTTCTGAGTCGGGGGCGGCGGCATGTTTCCTGTCATGTTGCCCGTCATGAAGGTCACAAAGGTGACCTGCGGGGTGTCGTGAGTGGCGAAGCGAAAGGTGAACCGGGGAACGTGGGGATGTGCGGTGTGCGGGTTGGTGCCGCTTGCGGCGTCCGCGGCGTCCGCGGCGCCTCCCCGGTTGGGAGTCTCGTTGCTGGAAGGCTCATCTTGGTGAGCAGGCGAGGTCTCGCTGATGTTTTCATCGCGCTGGCCGGGGTGAGAAACCGGCTCGTGACCTGGCTCGGGTGAGCCCGGCGCGGGGGCAGCTTCACCGCTGGAAGCGCCTTCCTGCTGCCGGTTATGGAAGTGGCGCGGGTCATTCTCAGGGCTGACCTGTGTGGCCGTTAGTTGCTGCGGTGGGTGGGATGTGGTCAGAGAATGATGCTGTACAATTTCTGTAGATGCGCTGCTGCATGCAGGGCATTCAATGCTCTCGCTGTCCCTCTGCCACTGGTGGTGGCATGCATGGCAATACATCGACTCCTGGTCGTGTCTGCCGTGATCGGCCATTCTGCCTGGAACCGGAAGGTCCGGACGAGACTGTAACTTGTGTCTGATGAGTAAAGTTGTTGGAAGTTATTGGAAGATGCGAATGCCAGTAAGTATAGCTTGCTGCCTGGTGAAAACCTGCCGAAACTGTGGCGTTTACCAAGCAAGAGTGTGTTGAGGTCGAAAGTTGGTCGAAATGGCGCAGATTGCGCTAATGGTTGCCCTCCTGCCCTCTTATAAAGCATCGCCACGCCTCCCGGCGCCGTGGTGCTGTCATGGAGCCACCTGCAGGCCATCTTCCAGGAAGCCTGGTTTCTGGAAGGTGCGATCGCGTGCTGACATATTCCACCAGGTTCCACTCTTTGCTCTGCCCCGAAATCTGGTGCGACCAATCAACTTCCAAGCCCCAGTCCGTTTGAGCCAAAACCGGTCGAGGGTTCGGGTTTACCGGCCTCTTCCTTGCCCTTGTCCTCTCAGCCCTTGTCATTGGAGCCAAGCACCAAATTCATGGGGTTCCACGCAAGCCACGACGTCAGACCGTCGAGATCACAATCTGTCTCTCCCGAAGCCTATTCGTCGGGTTTCGACATCTCACCGGCGTCATGCGACGGCCGCGAGCAGCATGAAATGTAAACGGACATTTTCCCCAGCCCGATTTGCAATTAAGGCTGCGGACCCTCATGATGAAGAAAGGGTTGAGGTAACAATGCCCTTGGCGCTTTCCAGGTTCCTTCCTCTTTTTTCATTCTCAAGCCTGGCAGCGTTGGCTGGGGTTTATAGTCCTGGTTCTCGGTCGATGGAGTTTGAGGACTCGGCCTGGGTCAAGTCTCGGCAGTATTAGAGCACCCCCTCTCGCAGTTGACAGTGTTTTGCAAAAGCTGAGGATTACATCCATTACAAAAGGTGGTGGTAATGGAGCCTTCTCAGTCCGGAAATGTCTGCCAGTAATCAGGACATCAAGACATCTCCAACAATGAACCCATCCTTGTCAGCTACTGGCGGCGCAGAATGGTGTCGACGAGCTCAAAGCCAGGCTGCTCCCCTCCATTCGCAATTTTGTCCAAGCAAACCTGGACTCTCGGTTTCCGAAGGGATTGGATGCCATTCCTGTCGTTCTGATGCACACCGACCTCGGCTTGCACAATGTTTTGGTATCCGAGAGTCCTCAATTTGTGTTTGCCGCGGTCATTGACTGGGAATTTGTTGCACGCCTCCCATCCCTCTGCGCCGTTCCGAGGCTCATCGAGCCGATGCTTCGGGAAGGCTTGGGCAAAGAGAAAGAGGCGGATCTGGGGGCGATTTCGTTGTTACGAGAGGTGTTTTGGAACGAGATCCCGGCTTGGAACGCCATCATGGCTTCTCCAGAGGGACAGACATTCCTGGAGTGGTATGAGTTCGGCTTGGACATGAAGGCGAATGCGTACATGAAGCTCGACGCGTCGGTGGAGGAGAAGATGGTTTTTTGGGAGCGGAACATCTCGGCTGTGGAAAGGTTTCTGGAGACATGGGCCCGGGAAGAGCCGAGCCTTTGAAGTCGATGATTGAACAGTTATTGATCTGAATGTATACGTGTTACTTTGTTCGGCAGCGAGCACAGGACGACTGAACTTCTGAGGACAAACCCACAATGTTCAAGCGATCTGTGATTTAGCCCCAATCTGGACTTGTCCTGCGAGTTATGTCAGCTGGGCTGCCTCACCCGGGATTGGCTGACAAGTCACGCAGGATGACGCGGCCAGCATCTCAGCTGGACCTTCACACCACTCACACTTCAACCACTCATAAATCACACTACGACCCCTCTTCGGGTTCCAATTCCTTCAGGCCTTCAAAATCACATTATCCCTCAGATCCTGCTTCTCAAAGCCAACGAGAATCCAATCACTCACAGGCGAGGAGTTGCACCACTGTCTCAATCAACCCCCAAACAACGATTTACCTCAATCAACGAATCCCCCACAGGCGCAACCTTAAGATCCGGTTCGACATGCCATCAAAACCACCCTTCCCACCATCCTCCACAATCCCCGACCACCCACCACCCTCCTACGAAGCCTCCACCCGCCACTCAAACCCAGCCTCAGCCCCAACTTCACAAACAACATCGACGACCTCCCGCGCCACCATCTCCCCGCGAAGCAGCACCTCCTCCACCCACTCAACATCCCGCCTCTACCAACCCGAACCCGAACCCCACGCCAACCCTCATGACATTCACAACCACCACCAACACCACCAGCAGGATGACCAATCCCCCTACCAGCCCACCAACCCGATGAGCGCCACAAAACCGCCAACCACAGGCTGGCAAATGGACCCGGCGCTGCGCGCCCACCTCGAGACCGCGCCGGGCTGCTGCTGCAGCACGCGCGGCGGGTGCTGCTTCAGCGACACGGGCGGGTGCTGTTTCAGCGACATGGGCGGGTGCTGCTTCTCGAGCAATGGCGGGTGCTTCTTCAGCGACGGGGGCGGGTGCTTTTGCAGTGACTCGGGGGGGTGCTGCTTTAGTGAGCGGGGCGGGTGTTGTTTTGGGAAGGATGGGGGGTGTGGGTGTAGCTCGGGCTCGGCTCATGCGTCGTGATGGGTCGGTTGGGGTTGGTTAGAGTCTGAGGGGGAAGGTGCCTTGGGTTGAGTTGTGGAGGGCGGGGGGGGGTGAGTGGTGGTGTGGTTCTGTTTGGGTATGGTGTTTTTGATGGCGTTGGTGTACATGTATTTCCTGAGTGGTTGCTGGTGGTTGGGTTCGTGGGGTCTGAATGGCAGAGCAGGGTGGGCACTGATGTTTGGAGTCGAGATATCCTCTCGTTTGGGAAGAGGGACGGTTAGCATCCCCAGCTCTAATGACAACGGTCACAAATCACACAAGCAGGTTAGAGCGGTAATCAGTGAGCAATGTAAACTGCCTGGCAGGGAGGAGCAACGAGTTGGTTGTTAGAAGAAGTCGCTAAACCAAGCACAGCTAACGTCTGTCTACCTGTCGTTCTGGACCTCGAGCCAGGACCGACCGCGTGGCGTAGTGCTCGGTTCCAGAGTCCGTGGCTAAATCATGTAATCCATCTTCCTCAATGTCATCTTTTTCTGACTAGT